TGATCATTGATTATAGATGTTCACTGATTCTAAACAAAAAATCAGTTATATTCGATTTTAATAATCATCGATTATATCTGATTGCAATCGATTATAAACAATCAATGATAATTGATTATTGGATAATAGTCGATTATAATCGGATATAAAAATTTCCTGATGAATGTCTTCAAGAGGATAATGAAAAATCTTTTTTGCTCTTCGATTTTTAAGATAATATCAGAAAATTTAAATGCAAAAAAGTGAAATTTAAAACGTAATGCATTAATAGATAAACAGAAAAAGAAGTTATGTCTAAAAAAATAAATGAATTCAAAAACTACTGATATTGAATTAGCTCGTGAATTTAACATAGGTGAAGGAACTGTGAGTAGTATTTTACATGAAAAAGATAAATGGTTAAGTATTGATTCAGATATGCCTAAATTAAGTTTGAAAAAACAACAGCCTCCCGCATGATCTCAACTCGTAGAATCCTTATCAATATGGATAGATCAAGCTATTCACTATAATCATACTCTTTTTGGGCATATTATAAAAGAAAAAGTCAAATAATTTGCAGAATTATTACAAATAAATAATTTTATTGCATCTTCTGGATGGTTTGACAGATTTAAAAAAAGATATAATATCAAAGAATACTTGAGAGTGGATGAAAATAATAGTGCACCTCTCAAAAATCTTCCTGAGTTTAGAAGTCAACTACAAGATATCATTAAAAATTATGAGTTGAGGAACATATTTAACTATGATAAGATGGCATTTTTCTGGCTTTTAGAACCAAACAGGACATTATCCAAAGGAGTAGTTATTGGGACAAAAAAATTGAAAGAATGCGTGATGGTATTGCTTACTTGTAATGCATTGGATGAAAAAATTAAACTGACTTTTATCTACCACTACAAAAATTCACGAGCATTAAAGAATATTCAAAAGTCGACTCTCCCAGTCTTTTATTACTGGAACAATAAAGCATGGATGCAATGTTCCATTTGGTTCATCTTCATAAAACAATTAAATCAAATTATGAAAAATTAAAACTGACATATATTGTTACTTATCAATAATGCTCCATGTCACTGAATTGATGAAGAACTCCATCTTACGAACGTTACCATTCACCCTCTATCAGAAAATACAACAGCTCATCTTTAACCATGTGATGCCAGAATCATTTATAGTTTCAAGGTACAAACAATATATACTTTACACTTAGTATTAAATTTAAGTTTTATTAATCTGTCAACATATTTCCAGACTAAATATAGATAGCTATTTTGTGAAAATTGCATCCAAGAATTTGATAAAGAAATGGAAACTGGAGTATCACTCTCAAAACTCTCTATACTGGATGCGATTCAGATAACGGTCACTGCTTGGGATAAGGTCACGACAAATACTATAAAAAATTGCTGGATTAAAACAGAAATTCTTTCATTATCATATGATGACACTAAGATTATTTTGTCAGAACTAGAAGAAAGTATTTAACATGATAATCGTCAAGTGCAACATTCCATTGATAAATTGTTAGAAAATAATAATAATATTTTGGTCAACAATTTTTTGTCTATTGATGATAAATTATTATTGATTGAAGACTATGAAAAAAGTACTGAGCAGGAAATCATTAATTGCATTCTTGGAAAAAATACAGAAATAGAAGTTGATGAAAATGCTTCTGAAGAAATTATTGACATAACCAACAAGAAGATAATTGAATGTTTTGAGAAATTGCAAAAATATCTTAATCAGGAAAATAGTATGTCAGTCTCGTTCGAATAAATCTATCAGTTTAATAGTATTAAAAATAATATTCTCAATCATATTATGTCTAAAAAAGTACAGATGCAGTTGGAGCAATATTTCAACTTTAACCTTAATAATTAGAAACAGATATACAATATTTTCCAATTGTCCTTCTATAAGTTTGTTATAAGTATCGAATATGAATTTAACTAAAGTTGATCAATATAATAAGATAATTTAGCATCAATAAAAATCATTGATTTTTAGCAATCTGAATATAATGAACTTAATTATAAATAATTATAATCTTTACTATAAAAGTGACCTTGATTATAAGAAATTTCTGGTTATAAGGAATATTTTCTCTGGTCCTGTCGAATTCATTATAACTAGATTTGACTGTAATATGAAATATAAAAGATATAAGATAAAATAGTATGAAATATAATGAAATTAGAATGAAATAGTATGAAATCTAAAGG